ATAGACTGACAGACGTTAATAATAAGATACTCATAATAGGATAAATATAGATAATAAAAATAATGATGATGATGATGATTAAGATTATGATGAAAATGATGATAAGAATGATACTGATGATGATAAAGATGAAGATACTGATGTTAATAAATGGCCAGGATGATAATGATGATAATAGAATAATAATGACAATGATGATGATCATCATCATCATCATCGTCATCATAATGATGATGATAATCAAAATGAAGACGATGATAGTTGACTGATGAGATGATGATAATGATTACGACGACGACAACGATTATGGATGATAGATGATAGATGATAACGATGATGGTGATGATGATTATGTTGATGATAATGACAGATAAAAGGTGATATGACAAAGATACTGATGACAATTATGATAGTGAAAATGAAATGAAATATGAACAATGTTAATTACAATATCTATTATATGATGATATAGATGATGAATGACAATGATGATGATAATGATAATATATGAGAGGTCATGTTAATGATGTTCATGGATAATGATATATGACAATTAGTACAGATAATTTGTTTTGTATACTGGTCTCTGTGTACTGATGTTGATAGTTGACGACAGACGATGACGACACTTTAATGGTGCCGGTGTTGATGATGATGAGCATATTGATGAGTTTTTAAAACTTCATAAATGTATTTAAAAAAAACCCAACATCGTTGAGTAACAATGACGAAGATGATTATAATGGTGATGATAATAATGACGATGAGGAGGATGATGTAATATTACAATAGATGATAAATGACAATGATGATGATTGATGACCATGATAATGATGACAAATGAATAGAATAATGACGATGATAACAGATGACAATGGTGATGAATAATGAGTAATAGTGATAGATGATGATGAATAATAAAGAATGGTGATGCTGATGATTGCATTATGTAGCAGTGTGTATACGCATTATACTGGAGTGTGTGGATTGTATCTAGTGTATGCTAATGTTACAATTACCATACACTTTATTATTCATTTATATTTAGAGTGCATTCAATATTGAATAAAAAAAAAAAAACAATATCTAAAGGTTGAATAATTTATTTGAAATGCCAATCCCAAATGCTTCAACAAATATTTATACTCATAACTAAAAAAAAATGTAATTACATTTTCTAAAAAGAACACCGGTAATCGATGTTTATACTAAAGAATCAAGATTGAAAAATCTATAATAAAGCATTGGAAATTTATAATTCTTGTTTTTTACAGATTTAGTTATTAATTTTATCCAACATGACGTAATATACGTGCTTTGATATGACGTGCAAACCACAGCACGTAGAAAATGAGAGCTTAATCCAGCCCACGACATCCTCGGGCTTACTGTTTCCAACCTCCAACAAGAAACAAGATATAATTAAATCGCTAATTTAAAGATTTATTTTTAACCCCCCCCCCCCCAATTGTAATTCAAATTTAAGTATAATTTTGTCAGACTGTTTAGGAACAGAGCGTTAGTTTAGAACGGAAATCAATAAGAAAAACAACAATGAAGGAAAAAAATAGGATACGGTATAATGTATAAATGGTAATAGAGATTAAACCCTTTTATGATGGCATATTACATGGTTTTGCTTTCTTTGCAAACTGAACGAAGAGTTCTGTTACCTTTTTTCCGATTACATAACTCTTTTATTTTTGCCATTCAATAGCCAAGGAAAGTCTAAATTACCTAATCTGAAAAAAAAAAATTAAATGTAGTATTAGATTACTTTTCCACTACAGTGTACAATATTCATATTGGAAAATATATACTGTAAGTTATATTGGAAAATATTTTATTCCACTTTTATACTTTTTTTTCATCAAAAACTAACCAATTGGCAAATTAGGAGATTCTTTACCCTTCCAATTTCAGGGGTTTTTGTTTTTTAGTTGTCTGGCACCTACGGATGTGTTCTGTGACAAAGGTTTGGCTCACGGTCTTTGTCAATATTGGATTATTTTTCCATTTTCCGGTTGGTTTCTTGTTTTTGGCATCAATGATGCGAAGATTAAGAATTTTTATTGTTTTTGCCGCATCATATAATCTGCTTTTAATTATAAGCACATCATTAATGATTTATCACTGCTTAAACTGTTTATTCTAATTATCCACTTCAGTAAGTTTGTGATCGTAAAGCTATTTTAATCATACGTGTTATCACTGAAGAAGAGCACAGGAGTGCTCGAAATATTTGACCAAATTAAATAATTTATATATTATAAATATTGAACTTTAAAGAGGAATCTGCGATTGTGAAAGAACAGGCCCCTGACCAGGATTCGAACCTGGGACCTTCATGTTTAGGCCTATGCGGACGCCTTAACCAATTGGGTTTGCTGCAATACTATCAATAATATAACATTGATAAAAAATATCTTCATAAATAATATGTCTATAACATCTTGTTCCTATTTGAGCACTAATATTGTTCATATATTCATACGATACGATACAATAACACTTGTATTGCAATTTGAAATAATTGAAGTTTAACATTAAAAACACATTGTAAAATATCAATATTAAAACAAAGAACAACGAACAAGGGGGTAAAATGGAGAAAATTAACAAGGGAAATGGACAGTAACAATAATAACAAAATAAAACATATAAAAAGCAATGAACAGCAATTGGGACTAAAACAAATAGGTATTACATGGTCATGAGAGAAATAAAATTACGTATTAAAAAAAAAAAAACAACTACTCGACTGGCTAACGATTGTACATTTCAGATTGATCATATTATTATTATTATTATTATTATTAATATTATTATTATTATTATTATTAATATTATTATAATATTCTTATTATTGTTTTTATTAACATTATTATTATTATTAATATTATTATTAATATTATTATTATTATTATTATTATTATTAATAATATTATTATTATTTTTATTAACATTATTATTATTATTACTAACATTATTATTATTTTCATTACTATTATTATTAATATTATTATTATTTTTATTAACATTATTATTATTATTACTAACATTATTATTATTTTCATTACTATTATTATTAATATTATTATTATTTTCATTACTATTATTAATATTATCATTTTCACTATCATTATCATTACCATCATCATCAATATAATCATTATAATCATTACAATCATTATAATCATGTGACCACTACAATACTATAATCACAACAACCAAAAAGAACAATAACAATTATTGTGTATAATTGTCATTATCAATCCCACCATTATTAAAATTATTAAATTATCAATATTAATGCAGTTACTATTACATTATATACATTAAATAATTATCTAAAGAATGACAAAAATAACACCTTATCTGTTATCACCATTTAAGGAGCCCAGCATTTATAATAAAGTCTTTTGACCGCTCAGTCCTCAACTTAGGAGAGAGCTTGTTAGATCTTCTTAAATTATACCCGTGATCAGGTGCATTGGGCCAGAGATGGTTTAGTCTAAGATTAGAACAATTGCTTTTGTTAAAATTTATCCATTTATTATATATGTATATGTATATATATATATATATATATATATATATACAGCATATACACTGTCTCATATACACACCGAGATGTG